TAGATAGATGATAGATAGATAAGTAGATAGATGATTGATAGATAGATGATAGATAGATAGGTAGATAGATAGATGATGATAGATAGATAGATAGATGATAGATGATAGATAGATAGATAGATAGATAGATAGATAGATAGATAGATAGATAGATAGATATATATAAATAGATAGATGATAGATAGGTAGATAGATGATAGATAGATAGATAGATAGATAGATAGATAGATAGATAGATAGATAGATAGATAGATATAAATAGATAGATGATAGATAGGTAGATAGATAGATGATAGATGATAGATAGATGATAGATAGATAGATAGATGATAGATAGATAGATAGATAGATAGATAGATAGATAGATAGATAGATAGATAGATGATAGATAGTAGGTAGGTAGACAGACATCTACACAGGTTGGCCAACCCTTTATCTTGGCAAATACAGATACTAACAAAGCCAATGATCATCTTCCATCATGGCCATTGCATAAAATGAAGCAATGCCAAACACAGAAGGACATAATCTCAGAGTAAAAATAGTCCCTTAAATTAAATAAATGTAAAGCTATGAAAAACTTACAACAGTGACTTTGTTTCCCTATTGTATGGCGAGCCACTACACAATTATTTATGTGTCATTCATATTCAGCAAGAGGCTAGTTTACTGCAGAAAGAAGCCCCAAAGTGAAAAATCCAGACATCCTTCTAGGTGAAGGACCCTCCAGACTCATCCAGACCAGTGTGCTCTGTGCAAGGAATGTTAAGTTCAGAGACCTTGGCCTGAGTTGCTGCACAGCCACATGGGAAGTGGGGTGCTTAGCCACACTCCTGAATAAACTGGGAATCAATGAACGACCTTCTCTCAGGGCCAAAGAGCATGTGTGAGGTGCTTCCAGCGAGGCCCAGTCAGTCCCCTTGCTTCCCTCAGAGTCCAGGAGCCCATTGTCCATGGCAGGGGTACCACCTCCAGTTGCGTACTTCCTGTCCCTGACAAGGTGGCCACCTCCCACCAGAGGGTGGCTCAGGGGAGCAGTCCTTCCTCACCCAGCCCAGCTCTGTCCGGCACAGTGGAGAGCCCCCAGATTCTCCACTCCAACCTCTGCAGCATCTGAGTGGCGAGCACTTATGCCCTGGGTCTCCCTGCAGAGTGGTGGAAATGGTGACCCAGAGGACACCCTACTGAAGATGTCAGGACGTCTCCACCTAAGGAACCAGGTGGCAATAACAAACACAAGGTTCCAGCTAGGATTTCACAACACTTTATGACCCTTTTCTCCCCACAGCCCACAGGGGAAATGTCCTTTAAAATGACTGCTTAGCTTATGCAAATGAGAGTCAAAAGGAAGCAAACACCTGGTGTCCATACTTACAAATTACAAAGCACAGTCATATTTTTCTGTCTTTGGAGCAGAAATCCAAATGCCCTCTCTCCAGATGAGTGTATGTGATTGTGAACATCTGCGTTCTGAAGGCATGGTGGTTTTATAATTCCTACTTTCCTCCCTGTCTCAGGGGAGGCACCCACAATGCTGCTCTAGAGAGTGGGAGCACTATGCAGTAGGAAGGGTGGGAACACTGTCATGGGGTAGTTCAGGCCTGAGCTCCTGGGAGGGTGGAAGGGGTGGGCGTTGAGGGGATTAGTCTGAAATTAACTTTGTAGGAAGTGTGGAAGGAGAAGACGTTCACTGAGGGAGCCCTTATGTGTGGAAGTGCCTTGGTGAAGAAGAAACTGCAGGTCCAGAGGGCTGGGGCCTGGGAGCCACCAGCTGCGCACCATCTCCTTTATCCCAAGCTGTCTTTCATCCAGGGCTGGCACCACGGTTTTCATATTTGGGTCTGGCTCTCACTCTTTGGCGGGGGGGTGTCAGGGGATCCATTGTGACTAGGAAAAATAACCCACTTTCTTCCCCAATAAACTTTTTGCTGTGGCAAGAATCTCTCCCATCCCACTCACAAGAGGTATATTAGGAAATGTTGGTTTGAGTGGGGCCTGATGGGACCAGAGGAACCTGGGAAACCTGGAGGAAGTGGGGAGAAGAAGCCAAGGACCAAAATTCATAGGAGGAGGGAGAAGAGCAGAGGCCTGGGAGACTGCTGCGTGGGAACGTCCTCCCTGGGAGGGAGGGGCTCTGAAGAAAACAGAGAGTCTGTAGATTCAGGACACCGGAGGAGACAGGGGCCAGCATGTTTCCTAAGTGCAGGGCACCTGAGTGTACACAGGGAAGGAACCAGGCTCCCTTCAGGAAGATCTGAGTTTGTATAAGCTGTGTCCTAAGGAAAGCTGGATTCATTGTTGATGACCAGTGGAAGGGAAGGAGGGAGGAAGTGAGAGAAGAGAGGGAGGGTGCAGTGGGAGAGGGAGGGGACAGAAAAGAACTTATTCACTCGTTCAATTAAAGCTGTATGCAATCTCTAGGGCATAGCACTGCCCTAGACCCTTTGGAGACAACGCAAAGATGAGTCAGGGTGATGACTTGGTGACAAACCTCCAGGAAGGGTGCTGGACTCCCCCAGCCTGCGCTCCTCCCCGAAACAGAACGTATCTAATATCCAGAGACTATCTAAAATCATTCATCTCTTACTGACTTACTGCAAATATATAGGCATTTGCACTTAATTTCTGATCATGGAATGGAAGGTGCTAATCCCACCTTCAAGGTGATTGAGCCAGCATAACTCTGGTGGAGTACTTGGCAGGTGAGTGGTGCCTCTCAACAGCTCTGAAATTGTTCCACACAGGTGACCATTTGCCTCCCCATGGGGCTGTGGGACGAGAGATCCCTGTGACTGAGAGGCACACAGATGAGCATAGGTGAGAAATTGGAATAGACAGCTGGGCTCGAGTCCATACCTTTACAGGCCTAAAAATGGGAATCTGATGTATTCTCATGGGTGGTGGGGAAAGGGGTCATTAGATATTAAAGGTCACACTCTGAACCTGGGGCATCACTGTCCTGTGCTGACAAAGCACATGAAATCCCAGGCTGCCCTAAAAGATGGTCTCCAGCCCTTATGTAGCCTGGTGTTCTAAGAGAAGAGCAGAATGGGTTCAATCCAACTTTGTGGTAAATTCTTCACCTCTCTGAGCCTTAGCTCTCTCATCCGTAAAATAGGATGCTTAACTCACAGGGGTAACATGAGGTTCCAGTTTGATGAGTGTTCAGTGCAGTGCCTGGCACACAGCAGGCACTACACATGGGTGCGCGCACACGCACACACGGCTATGTATTAGGCATCACTACTCTAATAGACAAAAGATACCATTTATGGAGCCCTCAAAATATGCTAGCTATCGTTCCAATGCATTATATGCCTTAACCCACTCAAGATCATGGAGCTAGAAAGTGAATGAGTCGAAAATAAGATGCCAGTCAGTAAACTTGATTTTGTTTAATCAGCACCACTGTTCCCTGTTTTCAATACTAAAAGCAGTTGATTAGAATGATATAATATTTACCTCCTACAAGAAAAAAACATACCAGCTTGAGTGCTTTCTTTTCTATGTGGATCTCATCTGATTTTCCTTTTGGCTTCAGCACAAAAGCCCTGTCTGACCCTGCACTGAGCACCAGGCTGGAGACGGATGCTGAGAGCAGGAAGAACGTGTGAGGAATCCTTTGGCTTCACCCTTCTTTTAACTCCTGGGGGTCCCAGGTGCTGGGTCCTGTGCAGCTGTGATGATGGAGGATCTCCCCAAAGCCCTGGAGGTTGATGAGAAGTCTCCAGAATCCAAGGACCTGCTCCCCAGCCAAACCGCCAGCTCCCTGTGCATCAGCTCCAGAAGTGAGTCTGTCTGGACCACTGCCCCCAGGAGTAACTGGGAGATCTACCGCAAGCCCATCGTCATCATGTCTGTGGGCGGCGCCATCCTCCTCTTCGGTGTGGCCATCACCTGCTTGGCCTACACCCTGAGTCTGGGTGAGAAGAGCCTTAACGTCCTTCGGATGACAGGGCCTGCCTTCCTGTCCCTGGGACTCATGATGCTGGTGTGCGGGCTGGTGTGGGTGCCCATCATCAAAAAAAAGCAGAAGCAGAGGCAGAAGTCAATGTTCTTTCAGACCCTCAAGTCCTTCTTCTTAAATCGCTGATGTTGGCCTCCCCTTCTGTCTTTCCCATCAGCCTGCCACCTCACCCAGGAGCAGATCTGATGACCAACATCCAACATCCCCTCTCCCTGGTGGTGGAGTTTGCCATAAAAATGATCCAGAAACCCTCTTCCAGGATCTGCAGGAAAGAGAGCGCTCAGGACTCCACCCTCCTCGTAGCTGGGGCTCATTGCTGGATGTATCTCATTTAGTGTCTGTTATCACTGATGCTTCCCTAGTTCCTGCCCTCGGCCATCCCCTTTCATGGCTCTCATTCCCTGTCATGCATTCAGGGATCGCTCAGCTAACTCTCTCTGCCAAGTGCTATGCATGTTGGGAAATTCCTTGGGTTGGGCTATGCCCCAAGGAGAACCTCATGTTTACATATCTGAGTACCTGGGCTGGATCCCACGTTTGCATCTTTCTAGAACCAAACTGACCAACAGAGGCGCTTCACAGAGGGGAGGGAGGGCTGACTTCTGACCCCCTGGGTTTGCCAGCCCAGCTCCCTTCGAAAGTGAGATACTGACTTGCATTTCAAGAGAAGACCCTACAAGTCACAAGTATCAGACATTCCAAAGAGTGAACAAGGGAGGGCTGGGGAAGCCACATTCCCTCTGGACAAGGCTCTGGGAGTCAGCCAGCTGAGGAAGTTCAATTCTCAGTTACATAGTATTTACAGAGGCCGTGGGTATGTGAGGGGGTGTCACAGTTTCTCCTTGACCTTCTGACTCCTTCGCCTTGACTACTCTGAACTTGCCAACTAGCCAAGGACAAGTGCATGTTGCCCTCCCGTCCTCTTTGCCCTTGCTTCTAGAGCAGCCACAATGGAGCGCTGCAGACGGCTCTGTAAGCCTGCTCTCTCCTTCGCCTCCATGGAGAATCAAAACCAAGATAGAATTTCACATTTGAAAGGGCTGTAGGTTTCCAGAGATGGGATTCAGTCTCCAAAGTCCGTCTCCCTGCCCCCGCCCACCAAACAAGCAAACATATATTAAGTGCCCTACTCTGGGCCAGGCCCTGGGCTGGGAGCAAGACAGATCCATTCTCTGCTCTCATCTTCTTTCCCAAGTGCGAGATACAACACGAACACCCTGAGTGTCCGGGCTGCATACTTGGTGGGGAAATGTGGGTGGGCATGGAAGCGCGAAGAGGGCATCTAAACCAGGCTTCAGAGAGGACGGGGGGGTCCCGGAGGCCTGTCATTCAACCTGAGAATGAAAGGAAAGATGAGAGCTAGCAAAGAGAGGGAAGGAGAAGCATTTTGGGTGGTGGGAACTGCCTATGAAAAGTGGGTGGGGGAGGGGAGCATGGTAAAATTTAGGAAACTGCATAGCCACTCTCTTAACCTCCCAGATGTTGCTCTTTGACCTTCCTTGTGGCTGCTTTTCCCCCAAGTGCCTCAGGGCAACTTCTCCCCAGACACAGTGAGGCCTCCCGCGTGTGGGGGAAAGACTGGAACCGGGTTTCCAGAGGGGCCGCCAAACAGAGAGCACCCATGTGGTAGGTGCCCCCAAAACTTTCCTCAGGTGACAGACTAGGAGGGGGACCTGTGACACAGCTTGCCAGCACGCTGCCCTAGGCCAGGCCTGGGCCCAGTGGAGGGCATTTGATACTGAACTTTGAGAGAAAGGTGTCCTGCCCTGCAGTCACCTTGGCTTGAGCTGACTCCCTCCACTCCTCAGTCTTCTGGCCTCCTGGTCACCTTCGCAACCTCTCTCTCTAACGCACCTCCAGGCGTCTCCATACTTCATGGTGGTTCCTTATGCAGAGTCAGAACCTCACCTTGTTCCCTCTGCATCGTGGGAAATTCCATAAAGGCAGGTACCTATGACAAGGGGACACCACCTACCCTTCCCACCTAAGCAACCAGAGTTCAGGGAGCTGGTGGCCATTGAGCTTCACCCAGAATGGCCATATCTCATCCATTCAGTGTGGCTGGGTCCTTCGGCTCACCTATCCCTGCACACAGGTGATCAGGGTCAACACTGGGGGTGTTGCAAGTGCTATGTCACTAGCTGTAGTTCCAGGGCTCAAGTGACCGACTTACAGATCATTTCCTTTCTCTGACTGAAGGTGGGGTCAGTATTGGCCCTACATTCCTTGATGCTCTCTTGCAGGGAAGCAAGTGTGGTGGTCTCCCAGGCAGCTCACTGGAAATCCATACTCCCTGTGTCTCCATTCATCTGCCCAAAAGCTGCTAGTCTGGGCACAGCTGTGGGAGGAGGCCCGGTGCGTGTTACTACCACTTATGTCTTAGTGGAAGGAAGTTTGAGAACAGCCAGGACCCTAGAAAGTATCCAAGCTCTGGACTCCCTTTGCAGTCCACAGTGGTACTTGCCCACATTCCTGCTCCTCAAGCTAGTTTCTCAGTAAGAAAAGTTAAGAAAGGGCTCTGAGGAAAGATCCCCAAGCGTCAAGCAACCCCACTGAGATCCCCCACATGGAGGTGGGCCTGGGAGCTCGTCAGCCTCACACTAAGGAGCTTTAGCCAAAGCATCACCCCACAGAAGCCTGAGGTACGGGTGTGCCTGGCCTGTGAACGCAGCCCAGGTCAGAGGTCACATTTCTGACAAAAGCGTCAGCCCGCAAGTGCGTCCGTGCCCTGGGGTCGGAGGACAGGGCCAGCACGCACGGGCTCCGCTGGCTGGATTGCGTTATCCCCCCATAGCTGTTCTGTCTGGAGAGTTCAATTGAATCTGAGGCCTACAGGAATTGATGTCATGTTGAATTGCCTTCAACACTCTACTTAACAGTGAATTCTGCTTCCTCTACTTAACAGTGTCTGCTGTGTTTTCATTCTGCTCCATCAGAAGGTTCAGGACCGTGCCCATTAATCC